TTTAGTTCGTTATCTCTTGTACTTATTTTATTGTCGCGTTCTCTTTCTTCTTCTCTCTCTCTCTCTCTCTCTCTCTCTCTGAGCAAGCGTATTCAGGATCGTTTCAGGGACACGTCGAATCCAATATTTCTCGTCCTCGTATCTCGACCATTCCTCTCCCCACCTTGATTTTCGCAGGATGCATCTCGGGGGTTTAAGCTCTATCCTGTCGCGTCGACAGTTACAAACGAGACGTCCTATAACTGTCAGCGACGGGGGAATTCGGGCCAAGTCGCGGGGACTTGAACGTTTTCTCCCCGCGAAATTGCGCGTGAACGCCGCCATTCCACTCCCTCGAAACTCTTCCTCGGCTTAACCGCTTAATCGATCCCCTCCTCCTCCTTCGAACAATTAATCAACCAACCGTTCGACGAGGGAGAGAGAGAGAGACACGGATTCTTTTCCACCGCTCGAACGAATCGACATCTCGATCGAGAAGTGTTGTTTCCATCAATTTATTAATATCGTGATTCCATTTGTATATACACATCTCTCTGTGCAAGCGTTTCGAAAAATAATCGACGAAACCGCGGTCGCAACCGGGGTCTCCTCAGAGATTCGGCTCGATGATAAATGGATCGTTAACCGCCGAGGTAACGGCGCCCCGATTATTAGAAGGCTCGTCGATAAAAAGGAAGGAACGGGCCGATCGATTATTATTTCCCTTCCCTTCCCTCCTGGTAAATACTTAGCCAGGGTGGATGTAATTTTTCGTCCCGTGATATTCGATGGACTCGGCCACATTCCACGGATATTCCTCTTTCAAGAAACTGTCGGGAGGCGATTCCGGCCAACTCGAGTAGCTTGGGCCCCCCCTCTTTCCCCAATCTGATAACGGAGGAGAGGATAATGTATAAGGAGAAGAATGTTTGGAGATCGATTTATCGTAGGCGTGGAAAAATCCACGTGTTTTTCGTCCGAGGGGGAGGGGAGTGGAGGGCGATGTTATTACGAATTGAACGTCGTAGAAATAGCGTGGCAGGTTTACGCGATATTACGCGGTATTCCCGCAGATATATCAGTGCGCATCAAGCGGTAATAAATTAACAACGATATTATTACATTGCATATGCAAATATTTGCAAGTGCTGTTTACCATAACGGGAAATTATAAATTCATGGGAACAAAGTAGTGCATTAATTATGCCCGTCTGCGGGAACGAATTGGCTCTCGAATCGGGGCCAACTATCGTCACATCTCTATCCGCTCCTGTCGTGTCTCTCTTCTCGAGATTTACCCAACATTCCTATACCGTATCGGCGATTGGAATACGATTCTCAATCGTTCCGGGAAAATTGCTTCCGTCTCGCCGACCACGCCAGATGGACCGACATATTTAATTTAAAAAAGAGTCGTATGAATGGATCATCTACTCTCGTGAGAAAAAACCAGAGAGAGAGAGAGAGAGGGAAATTCGTGACGATCATTGCGACGAAGCGTTGCTTGAAAGGAAAAATTGTTATATATTTTCCAGTTTTATCCAACACCATTCGGATCGAACTTATTATTGCCGATCGCCGACGCGAGAAGAAGTTTGAGCGAAGATATCGGATGTCGTAAAAATCGTAAGTCGTTCGGGGCGTAAAAAGAAATTTTACGCGTATTGGGCCAGATAATATAGATATATAGATATACGTATTTCAGAACAGTAATTTCTTAATATCGAGAAAAATGTGACGCGACGAGCTCGCACGAATGTTTCTTTTCCGCCAAGATCGAGTTGG